AAAAAAAAAAAAAAAAAAAAAAATAGAACTCTGACCCACAGTCTACAGTAACCACGGCAGGAAGCCACACAATAACTGACCCCAAATGACCAGGACTTGACTAATAATTGACAGCCTCCCTCATTTCTGCCCCTGCTTCCAATTTAGGGCCAAAAGGAGAAAGCCAGTATGTAACCCTAACCAATCACATAGAATGCCTTGCTTTTAGTTAGCCTACCCATAGGGTCCCCATGCCTACAGCTGCCAAGCAGGGCACACATGAAACCTTCCCTTTTTTCCTCTATAAAGCTTTCCCACTCATCTGCCTGCTTTTTAGTCTCTGACCAATTCAGAAAGCGCTTTAACAATGCAAGTGGTTGACTCCCTTACCATAGCAATCTCCTAATAAACAGCCTTTGCTTGTTCTTGGATGATCTTGGTTTATTTCCACTGGATGCATCTGGGAAGTTAGTATCAAGACCAGTGCCCCATGATGGGTTGAATTGTGTCCCCCCCCCGACCACAAAAAATAAGATATGTTGAAGCCCTAACCCCCAAGACCTCAGAATGGTACCTTATCTGGATATAGGGTCTTTACAGAGATGATCAAATTAAAATGAAATCACTAGGGTGGGCCCTAATCCAATATGACTGGTGCCCTTATAAAAAGGGGAAATTTGGACGTAGAGACAGACATGCACAGAGGGAAGACAATGTGAAGAGATACAGGGAGAAGACAGACATCTACGAGCCAAGGAATGCCTGAGACTACCAGAATTTGGAGAGTAGACGGGAACAGATTCTTTCCTAGAGCCCTCGGATGGAGCATGGCCTGCTGACCCCTTGATTTCAGACTTCTAGCCTCCAGAACTGTGAGTCAATAAAATTCTGTTGTTCTAAGCTACCCAGTTTGTGATACTTTGTTATGGCAGCCCTAGGAAACTAACACATGGACCCTCAAAACCTTGATAGAAGTAAGCAAAACCCCTCTGGAGGAATAAAACCTCAAGAATTCCCAAGATTTAGATCAGTCAAATATGAGCTCACAATTAACAATTACAAATGACTCAAGGAAACAAGCCACCATGAGTGAGAGTCAGAAGACTCTCATCTTGCAGGACTGTAGAATCTAGATTGGAGGCAAGGAAGCAAGGAGATGGTACTCAACCTCCCCAGTCTCCCCAGGCTTCCCAGAGAGTAGAAGGGTGGCTCCCAGGGGATGGGAAGATGTTGGTCTAAGGGTACAAAGTTTCAGTTATGCAAGGTAAGTTCCGGAGATGTAATGTACAACATGGTGACTTCTGTTACAATATTGTATTATATACTCGAAATTTTCTAGAAGGGTAGCTCTTAAGGGTTCTCACAACAAAGAAAGAAAAGGGAAAAAATGGTAAGTATGTGAGGTGATGGATTTGTTAATTAGGTTGATTGTGGTGATCATTTCACAGTGTATACATACATCAAAACATCAAGTTGTACACCTTAAGTATATATAGTTTTTGTCAATTAAACCTCCATAAAACTTTTTTTAAATCTCCATGGGGCTTCCCTGGTGGTGCAGTGGTTAAGAATCCGCCTGCAGGGGACACAGGAGCCCTGGTCCGGGAAAATCCCACATGCCGCAGAGTAACTAAGCCCATGCTCCACAACTACAGAGCCTGTGCTCTAGAGCCTGCGAGCCACAACTACTGAGCCCGCGTGCCACAACTACCGAAGCCCGTGTGCCTAGAGCCCGTGCTCCGCAACATGAGAAGCCACCGCAATGAGAAGCCCGCGCACCGCAACGAAGAGTAGCCCCCGCTCGCTGCAACTAAAGAAAGCCTGCGTGCAGCAAAAAAGACCCAACACAGCAAAAAAATAAAAATAAAAAAATCTCCAGGTTTCCCTTTGCCTCTTTCCCACCATTTCCCTCTCCAGCCCTTCCCCCGCACCAACCAATTGCTCTTAATTTCTTCCTACCTGTTCTCTTATTCAACATCTGTACTCAGAAGAGATCAATAGACCCATTCTTACTGAAACACAAAGGATTGATAAGATTGTGGTCCCTTCCAGGGGATTTGCACGCTGGCATTAAAAAAATATATTACAAATCAAAGAAATTACACTCTAACTTGGAAATCTCAGGAATCATGGATCAGAATGGAGCACGTTTTTGAGGAATAAGTGACCAGAGCTTTGCAACATTCACTGGCACTTCTTGATCCCTTGGGTCTCCTTGATCCTCCTCCAAAACACACTGCAACAAGCAATCAGCTTACCACTATAATTGTGCACACTGGCCCCAGGAAACTCCAGATAAAACCTGTCTCTGTGTTCAGCCAGCAGCTATGGAGAAAAACAGGAGTCAGTGATTGTCTCAGAGTCCTGACCCTAAAATTACTCACACCCTGCCAGATGGGCTAATGGGAGAGAATATTGGGAGATGAGACTGACATGAAAATTTTCAGGATGGACCAGGTCACATTTCAGATTTCCTCTTTCAGATCTTCTTCCTGGGTGAATGTAACCCCTTTACCCAGAACTCGCCACCTAGTATACCTTGTCATTCAAATCTCAGCTCGAACATCACGTCCTCTGAAAAGCCACTACCCTGGTCCTTTCCTAACAGAGCTTGCTGCTTTTTTTTTTATAGCACCTATCATAAATTATCTTGCTCAGCTGTTTATATATTGTAAATTGTCCATCTTCCCCTACTAGGCTATGAGCTGCATGAGAATTTGGACTTTGAACGTTTTATTCATCTCTGAATACCCGGCACTCAGTGCAAATCCTGGCATGGATGAGGCATTCCATAATTATTTGTTAATAGGAATGAAGCAATAAAGGGAGGGAGGGAAGGAGGGAAGGGAGAAAAAGAAGGAAGAAAGGAAGAAAGGAGGGAGGGAGGGAAGGAAGGAAGGAAGGAAGGACGGAAGGAAGGAAGGGAGGGAGGAAGGGAAAGGAAGGAGGGAGGGAGAATTAACTGCCTTTTTCCGTCATGCCTCTAGTAGATATTTGCTGTTTTCACCACCTGACAACTATTCTGCCATGTTTCGTAACAGCACCCCAATATTCCTTTAGCAGAAGTGTGCCTTCCCCAGAAAGAGAAGGAAAATAATCAAGTTTGGCCGACCAGATGTTCTCTCCCTGGAATGTAAGTCACCAGTAGTAGAGTGATCAAAAGGCAAGAAAATGTTTGCATCATGAGAAAATGCTGCCCCTATCCTTTCAAGGATAACTACTCCAGTAAATACGGGCCAATTTCCTCATTAGCATCTGCATCTCTGCCTGAGGGCATCAGACTAAAAGCTTCAGAAAATTTGTTCCCCCAGGGAGCAGCCCTCAACCAATGGCTGATGGGAGGTAGCTGGATAAATATGCCAGCTCCCTCACCTCGTGGGTGGGATAACTGTGGTATGTGCCCTACACGGTCCCCCAGAGGTACCTACTGGGATTGAGCCCCAGTTACCTACAGCAGGACCTGCTCAGGAATGCACCCTCCTTCTCCCTGTCTCACTTCCCCACTCCCTAGTGCCTCCTGAGATCATTTCAAATCCTTGCCAATGCTACTCCTCTCTTCCAAAACTTTCTGTAGTTCCTACTACCTAGAAAGTATTCACCAAATTCCATGCCCCTCCCCAATTTCCTCTTCTTCCAATCCAATCCATCTATTCTCCAAAGACAGCTTGAGCTCTCCCTTAGGCAAGATTTGTCCTCACTTATGTGTACATTTCAGTAGAGCCTTCAAGGCTCATTCAAAATCTGCCTCCTCCAGGAAGGCTTCCATGAACTTTCCAGCTCCCATATGCCCTCATCCTTCTCTGGTCTGTGTCAGGGCTTATACTACCCACACCAACATCAGGCACTTCATCATGGTGCCCTTGCATTGTCACCTCTATCTCCTGACAAGGCAGACCTCACAGACATAAAAAACAAACTTATGGTTTCCAAAGGGGAAAAGGGGGGAGGGATAAATTTGTAATTTGGGATTAACAGATACACACTACTATATATAAAATAGGTAAACAACAAGGACCTACTGCATAGCACAGGGAACTGTATTCAATATCTTGTAATAACCTATAATGAAAAGAATCTGAAAAAGAATATATGTATATATTCTTATGTATAACTGAATCACTTTGCTGTACACCTGAATCATTGTAAATCAATTATACTTCAAAAAAAATAAATGAATATTTTTTTAAAAGGCAGTCAGACCTGAACTCAACTTGGACACTTACTAGATATGTGACCCTGGGCAAATCCTGCAACTGTGCTGGGCCTCAGTTTCCTCTGTAGCTACCATTTATTAAGCTGTTACTTTAGTCACTGTTGGTCTTGGGGCCGCCATGTACCATAGCACAGGTTGTGCACTGCACAGATCTAGAGGGCAGTATTAACACTGTAGTGTCATTGAATGGTGTTGCTGTACGCAGTGGAAACATAGGAATTTTGTTGAGAAATACCAGAGATAATATATATTTGTAAAGCTTACAGGGTTTAGATTATGAAGGGCACTCCTTTATCATGAATTCCATTCCCTCACCCCTTATCTCATGACCTCACCTGAAGTATAAGCCATCAGCAGGCAGGGAGGAAACCTAGATATTTAATCCCCCAGACACAGCTCAGCAAAGTGCCTATAGCACCAGGGTGATAAACAGGGGCCCTGGGATTGGAAAGACCCAGATTCTAGTCCTCACCCTGCCACTTTTTCACTGTGTGATAGTGAGAAAGTCTTTTCACCCTTCTGAGGCTCACTTTCCTCATCTGTAAATTACAATAACAAGGGTCCATCCTAGGATGAAATGAAGTAACTCACTGAATTACAGTCTCTACCCTATCCACATACTACTTGTCCTGTCACTTACCTAATTTTCCCCTCAAAATTGATTCAACTTTTTACTTATACAATGGAATAATGTCTATACAATGGACTCATGTCTGTGAAATCATGAGTTTGATATGCCAGCAATTTTTTTCTAATGCCCTACAAAATAAATTCAAAAATATTGTTTAATTAGGGCTCACTAGCATACTACCTAAAATCTTCTCACATAGAATCATGTGATAAACCTACCTCACTTTAAAACAGTCCATGGCAATAATGATGGTGGTAAAAATAACATATATAATGCTTTACACTGTGCCCAACACTGTCTAAATGTTTTGCAGATAATAACTCACTTAACACTCACAACAACACTATGATACAGGCATTGTCATTAGCTTGCATTTAATAGATAATGAAATGAAAGCATACAGAGTTTAAGTAACTTGCCCAAGGTAACACGGTGATGGAGCCAGGATTCAGACACAAGCAGGTTGGCTCCAGAGTCCTCGAATTGAAACCTGTGCCATCAAGTTCATTGTTTACATCACCACCATCCACTGATACTATAGTGCAAACAATGGCTCCTGGATTTGTGCAGTGCACAACCTGTGCTACTGTATATGGCAGCCCTGAGACCAACAGTACATAAAGTAAGGGCTCAATAAATGGGAGTCACAACTACTGCTCTTCTTGAGTTCATATAATTATCATCATGGGATAATTAATAATAATAATAATAATTTTCAGGGAGAGAGAAGGATGTCACTTACCGATTATACATCCCATAACCTTGTGGTTGTATGATGGCAGAGACAGCCACCACCAGCGCCGGGAGCCCATAGCCAAAGGCACAGAGATACCTCATCTTGATGTTTCGAGAGCTGAAGTAATTCACCACTTTCAGGTTCCTGGCCATAAGGAAGAGCATCACAGCCTCCACCAGCATCCAGAAGAAGCAAGCGAGGAAAAGGTAGTGCAGAAAGCCCGCGATGATGGCGCAGCCCATCTGCAGGGAAGAATCAGGCACATTCAGGATCCCCCACTCCAGAGAGCAGGTTCAGAGGAAGAGGGCAAAGGAGGAGCTACTTTGATTGGAGATTCCCAAACACGGCCCCTTCATTCATTCCACAAGTACTTATCCTTCACCAGGGTGGCTCCATCCTTATGGTAGGGTAACCAATCATCCAGCTTTGCCTGGTTTTCTCAGGACGTATAACTTTCAGTGCTAAAACTGGGAGTGTTTGGGGAGAAACAGATATATGATCACCCTTCTTTAGGGGATGGTTGAAGATATGGGGGAGGGGAAGGGGTCCACAAACTACAGCCATGGGTTGGCTGCCTGTTTTGTAAATAACATTTCATTGACACACAGCCACCCCCATTTATGTATTCTCAATGGCTGTTTTCACACTAAAACAGCAGAGCTGAACAGTCATAGCAGAGACCATAGCATCTGCAAAGCCAAAAATATTTATATCTGCCTCTTTACAGGAAAAGTTTGCCCACCCCTGGTCACGTGATGAGAGTGAGGCTCACTACTAGCCTTTAGTTCTCAAGGGGTCTGGAAAGCGAAACATCCCGCAGTGAGAGGGGTAGTTCTGCATCAAGAATGATCACCCCACCTGAAACGTCAGTAGCACTCCCTTTGGAAAAACCCTGAGAGCCTACTGTTTCTGGCACAGTTACTAGGGGTAAATTGGCTAAAGTTCTTGTTCTCATGGAGCACACAGTCTCATGGGGGAGGTAGATACACAATAAGTAAAATAACCCAAAAAAGCAATATGGTTTCAAATAGGTGCTGAGAAAGGAAGCAAAAATAGTGATAAGGAGTAGAATTTCTCAGCTGTGGATGCAACTAGAGATTATCATGCTAAGTGAAGTAAGTCAGAAAGAGAAAGACAAATACCATATGATATCACTTATATGTGGAATCTAAAATATGACACAAATTAACCTATATACGAAACAGAAACAGACTCATAGACATAGGGAACAGACTTGTGGTTGCCAAGGGGGAAGAGGGGAGGGGGAGGGATGGACTGGGAGTTTGGGGTTGGTAGATACAAACTATTAAAGATAGAATGGATAAACAATAAGGTCCTACTGTATAGCATAGGGAACTATATTGAATATACTGTGATAAACCATAATGGAAAAGACTATAAAAAGGAATGTATATATGTGTATAACTGAGTCACTTTGCGGTACAGCAGAGATTGGCACAACATTGTAAATCAACTATATTTCAATTAAAAAAAAAGAATTTCTCCACTGTAGCATTACTGATATTTGTAACACTACTGCCAGATTATTTTCTGCTGGGGGAAAGGGGGCAGCTGTCCTGTGCATTGTAAGGTGTTTAGCAGCATCCCTGGCCTCCACCCATTAGCTGCCAGCAGCATCCCCTCCCAGGGGTGACAACTAACAACGTCTCCAGATATTGCCAAGTGTCCCCTGAGTGAGGATGGAATCATCCCAGGTGAACACTAATGGTTTAAAGAGTAGTAGGAGGGACCACTACAATATATAACATGATCAGGGAAATGATTTTAAACTGAGACCTATCACAAGAAGCAGTCAACTAGGTGAGAAGCTGGGGGACGAGTACTGAAAGAGAGCACAGCACATGCAAAGGTCCTGAGGTGGGTAGTAGCATAGGGGGAGTTGGGTAAGGATGAGCAGAGGCAGATTCGGAGATGATGGGGCTGGATGGAGACACAGCCTAAAGGATATGAGACCTGATTGTCGGTCTTGTCTACACCGGTGAGGAAGAGAATCTTGGCCATGAAGAGGCACACGCAGAGGTGCAGGTGGAGGTAGGTGTTGTGGTTTTGGATGGTACGACACAGCAGGAAGGTGATGATGGCCACGGTGAGACACACCAAAGAGATGATCATGCCCACGTGGCTAATGATGTACAAAGTGAACTCCATCTGTCAGGAAAGAGATAACTGTTGGTCTCAGAGAAGGACCAACATACCCACCCCCAGACAGGAAAACAAATTATCCAGACTCCTGGCTTGGGTATATAGAGCTTGGAGGCCTTTTCTCCCTCTGACACGCAGCGTGCACTAGATATTGTTCATCATCATCCTTTGGCATCCATCAGCACCCATTCTCACCCCTGTCCTATGCCCTGTTCCGCGAGGGCAGGACGTTTACAAATGACATTTCCCATAATCTCTTGGGGTTAAGATCCTGAATGTCATTTAAGATCCTGAATGTCATTTAATGAAAGGCAGGATGGAGGCAGATACCAGCTTTCTGCAGACAGGAGTGAGCTGTGGCTGGACTCCACCTTCCGACTATCCAATCTTTAATTCTTTAATTTCGTGGATGTGGGGTGAAATGACAGCTGCAATTTTTGACCTCTGGATTATGGCTGCAGAGGGGTGATCTTGAAGCCAAAATCCAAATGGCAGCCCCCTGACTTCAAGTCCTCCATCCCTTCCTGTGATTCTGTGAGCATCCAAGTCCCTGTATTAAATATTTTTCTGCTTGAAATACCTTGAGTGGTTCCTGTTTCCTGCTCTGAACCAGGACTGATAATAGGTGCTCAGAGATGCCCCAACTTCTGGGAGTAGAAATGACAAGTTGAGTCCTTCTCTATGCCATAACTTGTAATTAATTTTAAGTTCATTTGGGTGCTTTCTGCGTGTTAAAGATATGCCAGGCACCATCTCATGAACTCTTCTCTATGATATTGTGATGTAGCAGTTAAGAGAACTGACTACAGTTTTAGCTGTTTGAGCTTGGGCAAGATACTTAACTGCTCTGTGTCTCAGTTTCCTCATCTGTTAAAAAGAGGATACTAACAGTAACTACCTTATGGAATTATTCTAGGAGGATTCAGTGAAAATACTTAAAGTACTCACAACAGTGCAGGAAACATGTATGCTATAAGCGTTAATTTTCATCATTCGTTTTTCTTTTTTTTTAATGAAATGTTGATGCTTTTTATTTTTGGTTTTTGGCTGCACCTTGTGGGATCTTAGTTCCCTGACCAGAGATTGAACCCGGGCTGTGGTAGTGAAGATGCCAAGTCCTAACCAGTGGACCGCCTGGGAGCTCTCACATCATCATTTTTTACTTGTTCTCATTTATTTATTTATTTATTTATTTAGGCTGCATTGGGTTTTTGTTGCTGCACGTGGGCTTTCTCTAGTTGCGGTGAGTGGGGGCTACTCTTCGTTGCAGTGCGCAGGCTTCTCATTGCGGTGGCTTCTTTTGTTGCAGAGCATGAGCTCCAGGCACGCGGGTTTCAGTAGTTATGGCACACGGACTCTAGAGCGTGGGCTCAGTAGTTGTGGCACACGGGCTTAGTTGCTCCGTGGCATGTGGGATCTTCCTGGACCAGGGCTCAAACCAGTGTCACCTACATTGGCAGGCGGATTCTTAACCACTCCGGCACCAGGGAAGTCCTTCTTGTTCTCAGTTTTAAGGTGAAAGAACTGGGCTCAGCTGAGAGGTTGAGTGACTTGTCCATGGAAACACAGCTAGGAAGTGACAGAGATGGGGCTTGAAACTAGACTAGTCTTGCTCTGGATCGAATACTCTCAAGTTCTAAGCCTTACATTCCTCTAAATAGCATTTAGGACCCCCCTGACAAGGAATAGAACCTCCCACCTGGTAATATAGACAAGGATACTCACCACAGCACTAATGTCTATTCTCTCTACCGAATCTAACCCCTCACCAAGGCTTATTTCAGGTTCCATCTCCTCCCTGATCTAGCCCCAGTTCTCACTGACACAACTCTCAGTTCCTACAGCACAAATTCTTACACCATTTACAGGCAGACCTCAGAGAGGTTGGAGGTGCAATTCCAGACCACCACAATAAAGCAAATATTGGCAATAAAGTGAGTCACATGAATTATTATCCCCAGTGCTTAGAAAAGTTACGTTTACACTACGCCATATTCTACTAAGTGCACAATAGCATATGTCGAAAACATGTACATACCTTAATTAAAAAATATTTTACTGCTAAAAAATGCTACCATCATATGTGCCTTCGGTGAGTCGTAATCTTTTTGCTGGTGGAAGGTTTGAAATATTGTGAGAATTACCAAAATATGATGCAGAGCGTGAAGTGAGCAAATGCTGCTGGAAAAATGGCGCCAATAGACTTGCTCAATGCGCACAGGGTTGCCAAAAACCTTCAATTTGTTAAAAAAAAAAAAAAAAAAAGTATCTGCAAAGTGCGATAAAACGAGGTATGCCTGTAGATGATTCTGTAGAAAGAGGCTTCTGGACTCAGACCACCCTGGGTTCAAATCCCAATTCCACTAATTACTGGCTTCATGACTAGACTGGCTGCTGAGCTCGTCTCCCATCCTGCAAAATGGGTCTAAAAACACTTAAAACAAAGGGTCCAGGGCTTCCCTGGTGGTACAGTGATTAAGAATCCGCCTGCCAATGCAGGGGACACGGGTTCGAGCCCTGGTCCAGGAAGGTCCCACAGGCTGCAGAGCAACTAAGCCCATGTGCCACAACTACTGAGCCTGCGCTCTAGAGCCCCCGAGCCACCACTACTGAGCCCACGCTCCTAGAGCCCGTGTCCCACCACAAGAGAAGCCACCGCAATGAGAAGCCCGCGCACCTCAACGAAGAGTAGCCCCCACTCGCCGCAACTAGAGGAAGCCCGCGCGCAGCAACAAAGACCCAATGCAGCCAAAAATAAATAAGTAAATATTAAAAAATAATAAAAAAAATAAATAAAGGGTCCAGCCCATAGGAGGTGCTCAGTAAGTGGGGTCCGTGATTGTCATCGTGCCTGCACCTATTTAGGGTCATTTATCATTTTATATACGAGTGTCATGGCTTCCCAACCAGACCACGAATTCTCTAAGGGCAGAAGTATGGCACCCATCCCTTCTTTCCCCCATAACGCCTTCCCACAACACCCAATGCCATGAGAGGCATACCATGGATGTTCAGTCAATATTTTCCCACTGGATCTGGGGCGCTAGAGTACAGAGCATCAGTACTGACCGTGAGCTCCCCAGCAGCCATGATGATGGCCAAGTTCACCATTCGATTACAGCTGCAGCCAGTGTGCGTCTCAGAAACTTCAAGGATTGCACAGCCAGACGGTGTCCATCTACCTCCTTCAACATCTGTGCTCCAGGCAACGCAGATGGGACTCTCAAAATTCCGCTTTGGCTGAAAAGTCAAAGGCTTTGGTTACCTGAGAATCCCTCTATTCAAGAATCCATTCAGGATTCAACTTGATCAGCCTCAAGAAGATGTGGGTATGTTCTGTAGGGAAGGGAGAAAAATGCTGGTATTTCAATGTGCAGTAATGAAAAGAAATGTCTTGGGTGCCAGACCTGTCTCTACCACTAACTTGGTCCTAGCTAATGTAAATATCCGTGTCAATGTTCCTGCATCCACATGACTTAATCTAACCTAAACCTTGCCCGTTGATGAATGGGGAAATGCCACATAGAAATAGGAGAGCTCATTTTTCTAGTGGTGGATGTTGGGAAGTGGCTTGAGTTATCAGAAATTGTGGACGCTTGCTGCTTTAATGGGTCCCCATCAAAAATGAGAGCTAAGCTCACTTGAGAATGGGGAATTCTCAGAATGCAGATGAGGGTCCAGTGGAAACCTCTTCACAAACCTCAATGTTCTCCAGGGTGTAGGTGACTGGTTTAGAGAACCCGTCTTTCTTCTCTCCTGTTATGATGCCCCCAACAATGCGAGAATTCAACTTCAATTTCCTCCTGGAGTTGGCCAAGGGGACCTGAGGGTCTTGGAAGAAGCCCTCATCCAAAACGGACTCCAAACCCGCAAAGGAGACAAAAGCCACCCCGTTGACCCCTGCAATTTCCCCTAAAAGCAAAAAAAGAAAAGGGAGGGGGATCATTTGCTCAGTAGTTATTATAGATGACCCAGCCCATCCACACACATACACACTTTCAGATCCCATGCATCTCTGCACCACTGGCTTGCTCTGAGAATTGAAACACCAGTGGACTTCCAGGTGCGTGAACCTCACCTACCAGAGGCTCTGGTACCAGACGTACCATAACCTTAAAAAAAAAAAAAAATCTCGAGGTGCTATCACCTGGAAGAAATCTTGGCTACATTTAAAAGTAAATTTGCATTTGTGTTTTTAAGGGACAATTCAACTCAGCAGAGGGAAAAAATAAGTTCCCCTACCACATTTATGGTTATTCTTGTTCAGTCTCTTTGGTGGGCTTCCGCTTTCAGTGTTGGTGGTCTCCAGGGATGTGTCCTAGCCTGTTCCTTGTGCCCTCCAGAGCATATAGATCAGGGAGTGATGAACAATGACCTACAAGCTAATCTGGCCATTGCCTGTTTTTTGTAAATAAAAGTTTCATTGCGGGGCTTCCCTGGTGGCGCAGTGGTTGAGAGTCCGCCTGCCAATGCAGGGGACACGGGTTCGTGCCCCGGTCCGGGAAGATCCCACATGCCGCGGAGCGGCTGGGCCCGTGAGCCATGGCCGCTGAGCCTGCGCGTCCGGAGCCTGTGCTCTGCAACAGGAGAGGTCACAACAGTGAGAGGCCCGAGTACAGCAAAAAAAAAAAAAAAAGTTTCTTTGCAACACAGCCTCACCCATTCATTTAGATATTGCTTATGAATCCTTTTGCACTATGACGGTAGAGCTGAATCATTGCGACAGATTGTATTGTCCTCAAAGCCTAAAATATTTACTAACCATGCTCTACGGGAAAGGTTTGCCAATCCCTGATACAGATTAGCACTGTCTGCCAGAAATATCATATAAGCCACATATGCAATTTTACATTTTCCAGTAGCCACATTTTAGAACAGTAAAAAAAAAAAGGTCATTTTAATTATATATTAACTCAATACCTACAAAATATTACCATTTCAACATGTAGTCAATATAAAAGTTTATTAATAAGATATTTTACATCCTTCATCTTTGGCACCAAGACTTTGAAATCCAGTATGTATGTCACCTTCACAGCCTAACCACACTCGAAGTGCTCAATAATAAAACATGACCAGTGGCTGCTGGATTGGACAGGAAATGTCTTGACACTCCTGTACTGTGAGATTAATTTTTTAATTAATATTTTATCGGAGTATAGTGGATTTACAATATTGTGTTAGTTTCTGCTGTACAGCAAAGTGAACCAAACATACATATACACATATTCACTCTCTTCTAGACTCCATTCCCAGAGATAATTTATTTAATGTCTGACTTCCCTAGCAGATGGAAAACTCCCTGAGGGCATGGGCTATTTCTGCCTCTACCATCACTTTTTCTTTTTTTTTCGGCCACGCCTTGCGGCATGTGGGATCTTAGTTCCCCGACCAGGGACTGAACCCGTGCCCCCTGCATTGGGAGTGTGGAGTCTTAACCACTGGACCATCAGGGGAGTCCCCCTCTACCATCATTGATTCCCTCCCTTCTTGGCACAGGTCTTGGCACCTAGGAGGTGATCAATAAATATTTGCTAAAGAAATTAAAATTAAAAACAAAATAAATACATGCACCCCAATGTTCATTGCAGCACTGTCTACAATAGCCAAGACATGGAAGCAACCCAAATGTCCATCGACAGATGAATGGATAAAGAAGATGTGGTGCATATATACAATGGAATACTACTCAGCCATAAAAAAAGAATGAAATAATGCCATTTGCAGAAACATGGATGGACCTGGAGATTATCATACTAAGTGAAGGAAGTCAGACAGTGAAAGACAAATATCATATGATATGCCTTATAGGCAGAATCTAAAAAACAATGATACAAATGAACTTATTTACAAAACAGAAACAGACTCACAAACTTAGAGAACGAATTTATGGTTACCGGGGTGGGGGGAAGGGTGGAGAGGGGTAGATTGGGAGTTTGGGATTGACATGAACACACTGCTATATTTAGAATAGATAACCAACAAGGGACTGTTAGAAAAAAATTTTTTTAATTTAAAAAAGTTTTAAAAGGTAATAAATAAATATCTGCTGCTTGAATGCACAATAACCACCCTCTCTGATTCTCAGGAGTGGGTCTGTACCTGTGGATCCAGATTCTTCGATTGTGGAGCACCAGATCTTCATCTCATCCCCTTTCGCTTTCAAATTAAAGGCCTCATTCTCTTCAGTGCATCCTTTGTTGATAACTTTGCTCTCAATGTCTAAAAGGGAGAAAGGGAGAATTTACAGGAGGTCACCCAGAAAGTGGGTCTTGAATTTGGTTTCTGGCCAAGAAAGGGACGCATCCCTGGTTGCAAGAGAAGGAAAGGACAGACAGAACGATTGGTCATGGGAAAGATCCTGAGGCCCTTGATGAATGACAGGAGGATGGTAGCATCAAATAAATGAGAAACCCAATTGTAATTCTAGGAGTGAGCGCTCACATCCTTAGGGGATGCATCAGGGAAACATGGGCTTGAAGTCAACAGTGATGGAAAGCAGCAGAGTCATGGCCCTCTGACTACTCCAAACTTAGACAGGTTTTCCAAAGCCAAAGGAAATTGAAAGAGTCTGGAGCATGCCCAGGATAGTGGACAAGAAGGGTTCAGGTTCCACAGTCACTAACTAGGAGGCCTAGCTCCGCTGCCACTCACCAGCTGTGTAAACTTGACCACCGACTTAACACAATGCCAGGCACTCGATAAATGGAAGATGTTGTTACGATAACTGGACTTGCTTTGCTGTACGTGCAGAGGTTTGAAACAGCTGGGGAACTGGTATATGGGAAAGCCATGCAGAACCACATTGCCAAAGTCACCCGTCTAAATCAGCCCCTAGGTGTGACCTTGACACGAAGGATATGTCCTACCTAAGTGGTCCGTCTGAATAGTCTGACTGACATTCGCTGAGGGTTTCAGAAGAGCTGCCAAAGTGGTGCTTTCCACGCTCTCCAGTAAGACGGTGGCCAGGGTAGATGTCTTCTCTTTGGTGAAGTTGGACCATGTGGATGTTTGTTCAATCACAGAGGCAAAGCTCTCAGCCGTACTCTGCAAGGAAAGGTGTGTTTGCTCTCTCTCGCTCTCTCTCTCTCTCTCTCTCTCTCTTTCTCTTATCAATGAAACAGCAGCTGTCCCCTCTCTCATCAAGAGAATGGGTTGACAGTCTAGGATAATGAAGAATGTAAAAGGACATTCACTCAGCCTCCTTTTCCTGATTCAAGAAGCCCCACTGGGAATGCAAATTGGTGTAGCCTTCATGGTGTGCAGTAAGTCAGCACTTGTCATGGTATAAATTGCACATACCCTTTTGCCTCAGCAACTTCCCTTCCAGGAATCCCTCCTGCAAGAAATACTTAAAAATTGTGCAAGGATCTTGGCTAATGATGTGCATTTCAGTGTGGTTTGTGATAGCAAGAATTCGGAAAGCCTGAATGTCCAACTGATTGGTTAAATAAAAGATGATAAAATCAAATCATGGGATAGTATACAGCTGTTAATAAAAGAATGACTTTATATCTATGTATATTAACAAGCAGAAAGGTCCATGAGCTACGATTAAGTAAAGCAAATTACAGAATCACATGTTATATTATCTCCTTTCGTTTAAAAAGAACAAGTACTTTAATTTAAAGTTTTATATTTATGGTATTTATGTTTCTGGCACTAATTGAGATTTTAAAATAAATATAATTAATACTTATTATGAGCCATGTATTAAGTGCCTTATATATACTAATTTATTTAATTTTATGACGATACTTATGAAATAGAAGCTATTATTATTTCCATTTTGGATGAGAAAACAAAGATACATATCTAGTAGGTGGCAGAACCAAGATTTGAACTTTGGCAGTCTGGTATCAGCGGTGGAATCCTTAATCACTGCTCTAAACCACTCATAGTAGGTACTCAATGTGTGCTTCAATGTGTGTATGTGTGTGTGTGTGCGTGTGTGTGTGTGTGTGTGTGTGTTATACAAGCATTCACAAAGTAAAAAAAGATATGGAAAAATATGCATCTAAATGTTAACATTGGTTATGCCTAAGGAATAGAGTTAAGGAAAGACTATAGCAATAATAATATTAATATTAATTCTGATACTGTTCCCTTGATTATTGATTATTGTTAATAAACTGACTATAAAAATGTAATCCCAACAAAAAAAATATGAAGAGAATTCACGAGCTCACAACCTAATAAATGAAGGGAAGAAATTAGTTGAATCCAATCCAATGGTGAAGGAAATTAACTAAAATCTTAGCAGGGAAACCAATTTCTATGTATCCAAATTTGATGATAAGAAGATGAAAAGAATTTCAGTAAAAACTGGATCAGAGTGAAACTTGAGAGATGTTTGTCTGGGAAAAACAGGATGCACTGAGTTTTGTAACCATATCCCAAATGAAAGGCATGAGTTTGGGGTCCCTCCCCACCGACAGAGCAAAAAATCTCAGCTAGAATCATCCTGAAAAACTGTGGTTCTCAATTCTGTGGCTGCTGAAATGTCATCAAAATCCCCTTTGACATTAAATCTATTCTTCTTAGCTAGGAAGTTTATTTTATATCCTCAGGAAAGAAAAAAAAAATAGCAAGCAAGCTAAAACTCCATAGTAGTAACACTTTTGTGTTAATTTTAGAAGGTTTTGTAATCTTTGGCATAATTTGGAAATCTATTGTTTAAAGGGCTGGAAAACTTTGACACATTAAAGGAGACCAATTAACCACATGATTTCATGGCAAAAAGCAATTAGACGTGATTTTAATATGAACAATTTAAGAGAACATACACCGTATTACAACATTTTTTTAAAAACTCTGAATTATTATATTTATGCATGTGACTGAGTGGATTTATGAATCTCTTAAGGGCATAGTGACCTTGCCTTTTAGGTTTGTAAACCTTCCTCATTAAGTACTTAAAATCTGGGGAGAAATGAGAATATTTGTAAACATGGTAGAAAATGTTTGAGGGAATTTAAATAAATTTGTTGAAAGGGTTCATTGTTTATACAAATTTAATCTGAAAACCCTATGAATAAGTGTACACTTCATGAATAAATGTTCATTAATTTAAAATTCACCAGAATACAAATGAAAGTGTTATTCTTATTTTCATACAGATTTATAAATGACATAACAACATCCGTAAGTTGCAACTTAAAGTCTTAAGAGAAACTATTTTTTTAAATCTGCAATTGTAATGACCTAGTCATCCCACTCCTAGGTATTTACCCTAGAAAAATGAAAATTCAAGTACACACACACACACACACACACACACACACACGCACGCACACACATACACACACACACACAGATAAATGTTTATAGTAGGTCTATTGATAATCGCCAAAAGCTGGCGTGGGGGGCTTCCCTGGTGGCACAGTGGTTGAGAGTCCGCCTGCCGATGCAGGGGACACGGGTTCGTGCCCCGGTCCGGGGGGATCCCACGTGCCGCGGAGCGGCTGGGCCCGTGAGCCATGGCCGCTGAGCCTGCGCATCCGGAGCCTGTGCTCCTCAACGGGAGAGGCCACAACAGTGAGAGGCCCGCGTACCGCAAAAAAAAAAAAAAAAAAAAAGCTGGGGTGGGGATGGAGGAATGAAGAGATCTTGGTCAAGTGGAAACAACTCCAATATCCTTCAAAGATGAGTGGATAAACAAACTGTCGTCCATCCAGAAAATGGGACACTACTCAGCCATAAAAAGGAGTGAAGCACTGACACAGGCTACAATGTGGATGAAACTTGAAAACATGGTGCTCAGTGAAAGAAGCTAGACTCAAAGGGCCACTTATTGTGTGATTCCATTTACAAAACACTCTTGAAAAGACAAAACTGTAACGACAGAGAACAGATCAGGGATTCCCAGGAGCTAAAGGTGGAGGGAGTGAATATCTGACTATAAAGAGGAAGCCCAGGGCTTTCCTGGCGGTCCAGTGGTTAAGACTCTGTACTTCCACTCCAGGGAGCACGGGTTCGATCCCTGGTCAAGGAACTAAGATCCCGCATACCCCGCTACACAGCCTAAAAAAAAAAAATTAAGTTAAGAAAAAAAGAGGAAGCCCAGTGGAATTGGTGGGGGGGTAGGGGAGGGGAGAAGGGTCAGGGGACAGGGAGGGAACTGCTCTGTTGTCCGACTGTGGTGGCAGTTACACAAACCTACTCGGGTAATAAAACTCACAAAACTGTACAGAAAAGGGCAATATTGCTGCATGTTAATTTTTCAGACCTTACAACTGGAGTAGATTAAACGTTAACTCACAACCCATTCATGATAAAGAGGATTTTGTGCACCCAAAGTGTGCCCCCAATATGTTTGAAACTCGAAACATGATTATGGAGACTTCACTGTTACCTTCAGAGAGACGACGGTGGTTTTGTTTTTACAGACATCATCCAGGATGCCGAGGGTGGCATTCATCAGTGCACAAAAGGAAACCTGTATCCCAGAGGGAAGAGCATTTGTGAGCATCGATCAAGTGTGCAATGTACAAACCGGGCCATTGAGCCCACCACGTGGGATGGTCCTGAATCCCTGAGGTGTCACAAGTCTCTAGGATTCTCAGGGAGATAAAAACTCCCCTTTTGATCAGAATTGGAAGCATAGCATCTTCCTCTTCCACAAATCAGAAAAGAAAACATCAACCAACAGCAAAACTATTGAGTGGGGTGAAAAGACCAGTGGTCCAAGTGGAATATAATTCAGCCATGAAAAGGACTGAAGCACTGACACAGCTACAACACTGACGGACCTTGAAAGCACGATGCTCAGTGAGAGAAGCCAGACACAAAATGATACATAGTGTGTGATTCCATTTATAGGAAATGTCCAGAATAGGTAAATCAATGGAGATAGAAATTAGATTACTGTTTATCGGGGGCTGATGCCAGGGGGGAATACAGAGTAACTGTCAATGGGTACATAGGACTTCTTCTGGGGGTGATGAAAATGTTTTGGAGATAGAGGTGGTGGTTGCACACCACTGTGAGTGTACTAAATGTCTCTGAACTGTACACTTTAAAAGAGCGAATTTTATGTGTATTTCACAATTAAAAAAAAAACAACAGTGAACCAAAGTGCATGGGAATTACAAACTCATATTTAATATAGTGACATCAATACCTGAAGATGCTTCTGGAGTCTTTACTTACTAGAATGACTTCATTAGAGAATCAAGACATCCAAATTCCTCTGCCTGGCCTGGAGGCTGTGTATCACCCATCCCATATCACACAGATGCAGCACATACACCTTCACTAATAGTGAGACTCCAATACCATTTCTTCTTTTAGTAAACGAATCCCCAAGTTTTAGATAGACAAATGTCCTTCCTTTCCAGCTGTCCTTGAAGCTATGTGTAAGCAAAAGTGATACTGGGTCATACTCTTAAAGGGAAGGACTGTGCCTTTCACTTCCCCTTCTCTTCTGCCCATCAGCTGGAATGCAGACTTGATGTCAGGAGCTGGAGCAGCCATTTTGGACTAAAATGAGGGAGACTTGTGTTGGTGATGGCAGAGTATTATGAAGCCATCATGTCAGCTCTCAGCAGCTTATACTCAGACTGTTACAAAGAGAGAAATAAATTTATATCTGGTCTAGGCCACCGTGTTTTTTGACTCTGTTAAAGCTGCAAAACAACATTCTACCTAAGTGCCTTCTGGGAAAACTTCAAGAACTAGGAACTTTCAAAACTACTTACATATTCAGGCTCCACTGCTCCTCCCACTTGGCATAGCTGGGCCCACTCATTGTTGGGTATCACATCTTCTTTACACTTGAAGGGAACCCCTAAGAAGAAAAAACAAAAACAACCAAATCAAACTTAACCACAGCAAGATGTGATTAATAGGCAAGTCTGATTTCTTCACCCCCTGCTTGAAATCCATCCATTGTCATATTATACAACAGTGGAAATGAACACACTACAGCCACATGCTACGTCAGCAACTCTGAGAAGCATGACAGTAGGTGAAAAAGCAAATCAGAAAAGACTATACATAATATGATACCATCGTTATAAAGCTCCAAAGCAAACCAAACTAAGCAAGGAATGTTTAGAGGGAGAATATTTTAAGTAGGGGAATTACAAAGTTCCATGTGGTTCCCTTTGGGGAGGAGTCAGGGATACAGAGTAGGGAAGAAGCATGTAGGAAACGCAATGGCATTGATGATGTTCTAGCGCTTACGTTGCCAAGGGCCTCAGATATATCCATTTTATTATTATACTTCATTGCCTCCATATAAGTTATCTATACTTTTAATATATCAAATAATCCATAATTTAAAAAATGTAAACCTTTCAAACTTCCCCATGGATTGATGCTGCAAAAATAATTTATCAAGTGAGTGATTAATGAATGAGTAAATGAACAGAAAAAGAGAGAATATGTGGACGAGGTAAAAAAAGAAGAGGGTACAGAGGTTGGGAAAAGTGAGGATTCTACAACCAAAGCAAAACACAGATTCCATTGCCAAGACATGCAAGGAGATTATTACGTTTGCAACTGAAGTTGCCATATTTCCAGGAGGCTTTTGGATTGGGATGAAAGCCCACCATGCAGCCACAGCTGTAGGAGCCCAGGGTATTGGTGCAGACAGAATTTGGGCCACAGGGTGACGGATCCTGGAGGCATTCGTCAATATCTGCAAAGAACTCAAGAATATCAAACAACTCAGAGTAAGGAGACACTTCTTTCCAGGGATGTCCAGCAAACCCTCCGCTCACCTATGCAGTCCACTTTTGGGTCTATGGAGTTGAGCTGTCCATTGCTTGGTGCAAAGCCAAGGTGGCAGGTACAAAAGGTAGCTCCCGGGGGTGTTGGTGCATGTTGCATGTTGCATTGAAAAGACACTTATCAAGGCACTCATCAATATCTGTGGCATGAGGCACAGTGGGCCACCAAGCCAACAAAAGTCATGCTTCGCCTTCCAAAGCAGAGAGTGGTTGCTAAAACATGGCATCCCAACCAGGAACTACATTTCCCAGAACCCTCCGCATCTAGATGGGATCCTGTGACTAGCTTTCACTTATGGGAACCTGACATATGCCACTTCTGGGCCAAGGTGGTTAAGAAGTGGGTGTGCCTTTTCTCTCTTTCCCCACCGCTGGCTGGAACCAGGAATTCTAATGCCCTAAGGGATAGAAGAACCAAGAGATATAAGGAGACTGGACACCTATATCAACTTGTGGAGGAAAGCTGCCCTTTGGCCAAGTATATCTATTGGATTCATATGAGAGTAAGAAATTTCTATTATGTTGAACTAGTGGTTCTGAACTGAGGGAGATTTGCCCCTCTGGGGACCTTGGGCAATGTCTGGAGACATTTCTGTTGGTCGCTGGGATCCAACGGATCGAGGCAGAAGATCTTATAATGCACAGGACAGTCCCCCAGAACAAATAGCTATCCAGCCCCAAAAGTCAATAGTACCAAAGCTGAGGAACCCTGACCTAACTAATCTCCCTCAGAGGGTTTCTGAGCCAGCTGCCATGCTATGAGGAAGGCCAAGCAGCCATGAGGAAAAGTTCATAAGGAAAACTGAAGGGCCAACTGAGCTTCCAGCCAGAGACCAGTACCAACTACCAGCCATGTAAACAAGGTCATTTTGCACCTGCCAACCATCCTAGTGCCCCAGAAACACCATATGGTCAACCCACAGAATCACGGGCAAGAACAATTGATGGTTGATATAAGCCACTACCTTTCAGGGTAGTTTGACCTCCGCTGAGAAGTCCCCAAAATGGCTGGAAGAGTTACCTGTACACTTGAAAGCCTCAGGTTTCTCAGGGATCCACAAATCAGGTGAAAAGAACCCTGGCAGGCAGGAGCAACCGTATTTTCCCAGAATGTTGGTGCAGACAGAACTGGGACCACAAAGTGTCGAGTTCCTGGAACACTCATCCACATCTAAGCAGAAAATCAAAAGGATGAAGGAGGCTGAGGCTACAGCAGCAGTTCATAGCCCTACCACTGACCTAAAGCCAATGGGTTTCCCCAGCTCCTCCGGGCTCACCTTCTTAAACACATTTGCATCACTATGAAAAGGAAACATTTAGAGGCATGTGTATGACCCATGCAAATCTTCTGATGAGGCTCCCCACAGCTCAGGATAGAATCCATACTCCTCATTAGAACATATAAGACGCTAAGAGTCTGTTCCCAGCTGAGCTCATCCTTTCCTTCTAATCCCTTCAGAATTCATGGCCTGGATTCATCCGTTACCTGTAGGCTCACAAAGGCTCATTCTCTCACACCTGTGTTCCCTCAGCCTCAAACCCGTTGATGAATCTCAATTCCTCTCCAAGAAATCACTATATCAGAGTGGAGTGGAGGGGTAAAGAGCATGGACATCTTGAGTTCAAAGCCTGGCTCTGCCCCCTTATAATCTGCGTGTTGCTGGGTGCTATGGAGTGAATTACGTCACCTCTCCCCAAATTCATATGTTGAAGCCCTACCCCCCAGTGGGATGGTATTTGGATGTGGAAACTAATTAGGTTTAGATGAGGTCATGAAGGTGGAATCCTCATGAGGGAGAACACAAGAGCTCTCTCTGCCATGGGAGAACACAGCAAGAAGGCAGCTGTGTACAAGCCAGGAAGACAGCTGTTTCCAGAACCCTACCATGCTGACACCTTGATCTTGGACTTCCACCCTCCAAAACTGTGAGATAATAAATCTCTGTTGTTAAAGCCCCCCAGTCTCTGGTACTTTGTTATGGCAGCCCGAGCTGACTAATACGCTGGACAAGAGAATTCATCTCCGTGTATCTCCGTTTCCTCATCTGTGAAATGGAAGTAATCACAGAACCCACCCCATAGTGTTGTTCAGAGGATTACATAAGATGATACATTATCTCTAAACACTCAGAACAGAACCTGGGACAGAGCAAGTACTATGTTAAGTATTCGTTAACTGAAATAAAAAGTTAATGGCAAACGTGTTGAGCTTTCTTTGTGGCAGGCAATGAGGAAGATCCTTTACATGCATCCACTCAACAAATGCTCCCAGCAGCCCTGTGAGGTGCAAACTAACATTTCCATTCTTCAGAGGAGGAAACTGAGGCTTCAAAATTGTGCAAAGTCACATAGCTTGTGAAAGGCACAACCGGGATTTAAATTCAGGTTCTGTCTGGCTCTGGAATTTTTACATGACAGCTTTCCAGGCTGTCTTGAGTCTCAGAGACTGGAAATTTGGTGATTAAATTGATATCTGTCCTGCACAAGCCCACCCTGAGTTACCAGCAGGTGTAGCTTCATTCAGAGGCAGCAGATCATGGTGGCTGAGGTATGAAGTCACACTAGGCATAGTTCTACCATGACTCTCTTATTTCCTTTCTATTTGACCTTGGGAGAGGTGATTCCACCACAATGGAGGCTCAGTTTCCTCATCTATAATATGGGTACAAAGTACCACTGATAGCATCAGGTTGTTGGGACGACTGAATGAGCACATATATGGAAGAGCTTAGTGCCTTGGCTGGGATCCTGCCTTTAGGACTGTGTACCTGCTATTTCCCCCTCCCGGAACACCCTTCCCCAGATAACCCATATCTCACTCCCTTCAGGTCTTTTCTCAAATATCAACTTCTCAGCATGGCCTTTCCCTGCCACGCTATTAAAACTACAATTTCACCCTCGAGTATTACCTACCCACCTGTCCCGCCTTCTTTGTCTTCATCTCCTTTAACTATCCCTGGCACACAATATGTCCATGAACGTATTTTGTTTGTTCCCTATCTCTCCCCACACTGGATGATAAATTCCATGAGAACAAGTATTTTTGCCTGCATTACACACTGCTGTATCCTCCATCCCTAGAATAGTGCTTGGCATGTAGTAGGTGTTCAGGAAGTGTTTGTTGAATGAATGCATGAATGTATGAATGATTATTGGCTTCAGCTTTGCAGATGAGGGCTTTGAATTCAGCTGAGACCCACCTCAAATCCTTCCCCACCACTGCTGTCTTTGCAAACAGATTGGACTTGATTCCGCAAGAGACCCATGAACCTACCTTCACAAGTCTCTCCCAGGCCCTGGAAACTCATCTTTCCCCGGCTGGATTCAAATCCTGGGTTGCAGGCACAAGAGTAGCTTCCAAGACTGTTGTGGCAAGTTGAATGCTCTGGGCAAGTTCTGGGATCAGCACATTCGTCCACATCTGGTGAGTGGAAATGGAAACCCCGGTCAAGGCAGAGGAAGCAGTGAGAACAGGAGACTGCAATCAGGAGATTCACTGCACCAGCTCTCCACCTGATGCTCCCCAATACCCAGACTTTCCCCTTCTCTCTAATGTCCTTGCAGTTAAGCATGGTCTTGAGAATAATGCTGGCCAACCGTATGCAAGCAAAAGGGTGGCAAATAGTTTCAAGCCACAATGATCATAGATTGCAGAAATGGCTGTCATCCTTTACTCCTCCCTGTGTCCACAACTTGGGATGAGGTTTGTTCCGTACCATGCGACATTGCCACTCCTCTCTTTAAGATGTGGAGTTTGTTTCCCCAGCCCTTGACTGTAGCTGGCTCTATGACTTGCATTGGTCAATAAATATGGCAGAAGCAATGTGGTGCCAGTTCCAGACTTAGATCTCGAGAAACTTACTTGCTTCTGCTCACACATTGGACCCCTTGTCTCTGCCATATGAACAAACCCCAGGTTAATTAAAAAAAAAAAAAAAGACAAAGTGCAAGCGAGTTGGATCATCCCAGATGAGCCCCAGATATGTGAGACAGCCCAGCCAAGATCAGCAGAGCTGACCCACAGCTGTCCACAAACACACGAACAAGCCCAGTGGAGACCCAAAGAACTGACCAGCAGAGCCCAACCTAAACTGCCAACATGTGGAATCCAGAACTAAACGAATGGTGGTTGTTTTAACCACCAACTTCTGGGGTGATTTGTTACTCAGCAATAGCTAACTGCTACAAATAGATCAGAAAAATCAGAGATGACTTCAAATATCTCTAACTCCAAGCCCAGGGGGTATGTTGAGGGCTTGATCACTCCATGTCTTGCTTGATAGAGTCACCCTCCCTTTAAATAAATAATAGTGCTGCAGCAGACTCAGGAAGATGGAGCCCTTGTCTCTTGGTGAGAATATTCTGGCTGCAGTGCAGAGGATAGATTCAAGGGATCAACACTAGAAAAAGGGAGAGACTAGTGAGGAGGCTGTTGCAATAATGATGAAACCTAAACCAAGGATGGAAAAGAGTGAAGAGATTCAAGACGTATTTAGCAGGCATTTAGCCCAATGACATGATGACTGATTTAATATGGAAGGGGAGGGAGGATCAAGAATAACTCTCAGGTCTTCATTCAAATACCTTTCAGGGAAAAGTTTTGAAGTTTGGGTCTGAGCTCTCCCCAGGACAGAGTTTATCTCAGTGCTACTGACACTTTGGACCAGATCATTCTTGGCTGTGGGGAGGCAGTTCTGTGCATTGGAGGATGTTTAGCAGGGCCTCTGGTCTCTACCCACCAGCTGACAGTAACACAAACCACCCGCCTCCACCACCAGTTGTGACAACGAAAAATGTCTCCAGACATTGTCAATATCTCCCCCCCACAGGGTGGTGAGTGAATCACTCTAAGGATAGAGCCCCCCCCCATTACTCTCAAGTACTGCCTGACCCACTGCTTAACTCATAGTAGACCCTCAATGGGAGTTCAAATTCAGGTTCTTCTACTTAATAACTGTGTATTCTTAGACAAATGACTTTACCTCTCTGAGCCTCAAATGGATTATTTCTAAAATGAGGATCATAATCCCTACCACATAGGATCACTATATGAAGTTCTTAATTAATCGAGTAGGTAAAGATCAGGTTCTCTATACCTTCACAGATGGAGTTTTTAGAGGTGAATCCAACTTGGCAGCTGCACCTGTAGCTTCCCAAAGAGTTGGAACACTCAGAGTGCTCTGGGCAGACCCCACTGTAGAGGCATTCATTAATGTCTGAGGAGCAGTGGAGGACATTGGGGAGACAAAAGATTAGGTGTCTATGGTTAGAAACACAGGTACCCAACTCAGTAGGAGCTGTCCACCAAAGACCTGTGCCTGAGAGCCTGAGTGCATTACCTGTACAGGTGAAATGACCTGGCTTTCCTGGGTTCCAGTTATTTCCAGTCGGAGAAGAGAAACCAGGCAAACAGTTGCACTTATACCTCCCCGGCAGGTTTCTGCAGATTGAGTTAGGACCACATGGTGGGTGGCTTTGAGAACATTCATCTATATCTGGAGAGAAAAAGAGTCAGAGTGTTACAAATTTTCTTCATCTTGTGAAACAGTTTGTATTTTCCAAAGTCGGTTGAAACAATATCTTCCATCCCATATGCCCTTAATTCAATGCGCTTTCATTGGTATTCCTTCCATCAAGCCCTGGGGTCTACATTTCCTCCCCTTGAATCTGACCATGCTTGTGACTATGGTGGTGGTGACACTAGGTCCTAAATATACCATGCAAGTCATAAAAATGTCACACACTTCCCCCTTTCTCCCTTGAGAAGCTCATGCTTGACTCAGCCGCCACACTGTGAGGAAGCTCAACCAGCCATGAGAAAGCAGCCCACGTGGGGAAGAACTAAGACCTCTAGCCCACAGCCCTGGCAGAGCAGCCAGCCAACAGCCAGCACCAGCTTGCCAGCCTTCTGAGTGAGCCCCCTGCAAATTGGATCCTCCAGCCCCAAGTTGAGCCGACTCAACTAACAATGTGTAGAACAAAGTCAAGCCATCCTCAGCAAACTCAGTGCAAATGGCAGATTCATTCATGAGCAAAATAAATGATTGCTGGTGTTTTAATACACAAAGTTTGCTGCTCCCCAGCAATAGATAACCAGAACAGTTTCCAAACCCACCTCTAGGAATTTACTCACTAAAGCACCCATAGAATTGTGCAGTCATGGTACCATGGGGTGGTCCTCCCCTAATCTCCTTCAGCCCTACTCTGTCAAGTCACCCTAAATAAACACTTACGATGCACTTGCCATGCAAATAGAACTAAAAGGCAAGTACCCTATAGCTCCCTCCCAGCAAACTGTGCCTCTCCTAGAGAGAAATCTGTACCTGCCACTATATATCAAGATAAGATCACAGGAATGTTCGTTCCAGCTTTAAGTAATGAGACATTAGAAAGACCTAGTGTCCATCAATTGCAGGGTGATTAGGTCTGGAGTTGACATAAAGAATAAGGTAGCATGGTCCTTCATTTGACAAATATCTATCACATATTCACAATGTGTTAGGTACCACAGGTCAAAGACATAGAGTGGGGCTTCCCTGGTGGCGCAATGGTTGGGGGTCCACCTGCCGATGCAGGGGATGCGGGTTCGTGTCCCGGTCCGGGAGAGTCCCGCGTGCCGCGGAGCAGCTGGGCCCGTGAGCTGTGGCCGCTGGGCCTGCGCATCTGGAGCCTGTGCTTCGCGGCGGGAGAGGCCACAGCGGTGAGGGGCCCACGTACCGTTAAAAAAAAAAAAGACATAGAGCACACAAGATCCTTGCTGTAGTATCCACCATTATGTAGATAGGGAATGTTGCTCTCACCCCTTATTTAAAAACAAGGGACCAACAAGACTACTGTGCTTACTGAACAACCCATGAACTGTAGCCTAAAGATTTTAAAAAGTATGTTGGTATAGTTGACCAATGAAAAGATGCTCAGCATCACTAATTATCTGAGAAATGCAAACCAAAACTACAATGAGGTATCACCTCACACCAGTCAGAGTGGCCATCATTAAAAAGTCTACAAATAACAAAGGCTGGAGAGGGTGTGGGGAAAAGGGAACCCTCCTACATTGTTGGTGGGAATGTAAATCGCTGCTGCCACTATGGAGAACAGTATGGCAGTTCCTCTTAAAAACTAAAAATAAAGTTGCCATATGATCCAGCAATTCCACTCCTGGGCATATATCTGGACAAAACCATAATTTGAAAAGATACATGCACCCCAATATTCATAGCAGCACTATTTACAATAGCCAAGACATGGAGGCAACCAAAATGTCCATAAACAGATGAATGGATAAAGAAGATGTGGTCCATATGTACAATGGAATATTACTCAGCCACGACAATGAATGAAATAATGCCATTTGCAGCAATGTGGATGTACCTAGAGATTATCATACTATGTGAAGTCAGACAGAGAAAGACAAATACCGTATGATACCACCTGTATGGGGAATCTAAAATATGACACAAATGAATTTATTTGTAAGCCAGAAATAGACTCCCAGACATAGAGAACAGACTTGTCATTGCCAAGGGAGTGGTGGGGAGGATGGAATGTGAGTTTGGGATTAGCAGATGCAAAGTATTGCACACAGGATGGATAAACAACAAGGTCCTACTGTACAGCACAGGGAACTATATTCAATATCCTGTAATAAACCATAATGGAAAAGAATCTGAAAAATATATATATATATGCACACACACACATACACAGACACACATATACATATATGTATAACTGAATCACTTTGCTGTACAGCAGAAACTAACACAACATTGTAAATCAACTAGACTTCAATAAAAAGTAATTTTTTAAAAAAGTGTGTTTGGGGGCTTCCCTGGTGGCGCAGTGGTTGGGAGTCTGCCTGCCGGTGCAGGGGACACGGGTTTGTGCCCCGGTCCGGGAGGATCCCACATACCGTGGAGCGGCTGGGCCCGTGAGCCATGGCCGCTGAGCCTGCGCGTCCGGAGCCTGTGCTCCGCA